TTGCCTCCATAGATAACATTTTTTGCCTCCACATATACCTCAATGCACCACTCACCTTTTTTCCTTCATCAGTTCTATGATTAACCTCATCCTTCATAAATCCATCCACTGACATGTCAACTTCCAAATATCTGAAAACATTCACTTCTTCCATACTCCTCCTCCCCAATTTGATATCCAATTTTTCTTTATCTAAATCATTTGATACCCTCATCACCTTACTCTTTTCTATGTTCACTTTCAATTTTCTACCTTTACACACACACACACACACACACACACACACACACACACACACACACACACACACACACACACACACACACACACACACGACATGATGGAAGGGTTAGACTCAGAAGTGTCCCTGTTTGCAGATGATGTGAAGTTAATGAGGAGAATTAAATCTGATGAGGACCAGGCAGGACTTCAAAGAGACCTGGACAGACTGGACACCTGGTCCAGCAAATGGCTTCTCGAATTTAATCCTGCCAAATGCAAAGTCATGAAGATAGGGGAAGGGCACAGAAGACCACAGACAGAGTATAGGCTAGGTGGCCAAAGACTGCAAACCTCACTCAAGGAGAAAGATCTTGGGGTGAGTATAACACCGAGCATGTCTCCGGAAGCACACATCAATCAGATAACTGCTGCAGCATATGGGCGCCTGGCAAACCTGAGAACAGCATTCCGATACCTTAGTAAGGAATCGTTCAAGACACTGTACACCGTGTATGTCAGGCCCATACTGGAGTATGCAGCACCTGTTTGGAACCCGCACTTGATAAAGCACGTCAAGAAACTAGAGAAAGTACAAAGGTTTGCGACAAGGTTAGTTCCAGAGCTAAGGGGAATGTCCTATGAAGAAAGATTAAGGGAAATCGGCCTGACGACACTGGAGGACAGGAGGGTCAGGGGAGACATGATAACGACATATAAAATACTGCGTGGAATAGACAAGGTGGACAAAGACAGGATGTTCCAGGGAGGGGACACAGAAACAAGAGGCCACAATTGGAAGTTGAAGACACAAATGAGTCAGAGAGATATTAGGAAGTATTTCTTCAGTCATAGAGTTGTAAGGCAGTGGAATAGCCTAGAAAATGACGTAGTGGAGACATGAACCATACACAGTTTTAAGACGAGGTTTGATAAAGCTCATGGAGCGGGGAGAGAGAGGGCCCAGTAGCAACCAGTGAAGAGGCGGGGCCAGGAGCTAAGACTCGACCCCTGCAACCACAAATAGGTGAGTACACACACACACACTTTTTTTTTCTACAAGTTGGCTGTCTCCCACCGAGGCAGGGTGACCCAAAAAAGAAAATCCCCAAAAAGAAAATACTTTCATCATCATTCAACACTTTCACCTCACTCAAACATAATCACTGTTTTTGCAGAGGTGCTCGGAACACAACGGTTTAGAAGCATATATGTATATAGATACACAACATATCCCTCCAAACTGCAAATATCCCAAAACCCCTCCTTTAAAGTGCAGGCATTGTACTTCCCTTTTCCAGGACTCAAGTCTGGCTATATAAAAATAACTGGTTTCCCTGAATCCCTTCACTAAATATTACCCAGCTCACACTCCAACAGATCGTCAGGTCCCAAATACCATTCGTCTCCATTCCTATCGAACACGCTCATGCACGCCTGCTGGAAGTCCAAGCCCCTCACCCACAAAACCTCCCTTACCCCTTCCTTCCAACCTTTTCGAGGACGACCCCTACCCCGCCTTCCTTCCCGTACAGATTTAAATGCTCTCCATGTCATTCTACTTTGATCCATTCTCTCTAAATGACCAAACCACCTCAACAACCCCTCTTCAGCCCTCTGACTAATACTTTTATTAACTCCACACCTCCTAATTTCCACACTCCGAATTTTCTGCATAATATTTACACCACACATTGCCCTTAGACAGGACATCTCCACTGCCTCCAACCGCCTCCTCGCTGCTGCATTCACAACCCAAGCTTCACACCCATATAAGAGTGTTGGTACTACTATACTTTCATACATTCCCTTCTTTGCCTCCATAGATAACATTTTTTGACTCCACATATACCTCAATGCACCACTCACCTTTTTTCCCTCATCAATTCTATGATTAACCTCATCCTTCATAAATCCATCTGCCGACACGTCAACTCCCAAGTATCTGAAAACATTCACTTCTTCCATACTCCTCCTCCCCAATTTGATATCCAATTTTTCTTTATCTAAATCATTTGATGCCCTCATCACCTTACTCTTTTCTATGTTCACTTTCAACTTTCTACCTTTACACACACTCCCAAACTCATCCACTAACCTTTGCAATTTTTCTTTAGAATCTCCCATAAGCACAGTATCATCAGCAGAAAGTAACTGTGTCAGTTCCCATTTTGTATTTGATTTTCCATAATTTAATCCCACCCCTCTCCCGAACACCCTAGCATTTACTTCCTTTACAACCCCATCTATAAATACAGTGGACCCCCGCATAACGATTACCTCCGAATGCGACCAATTATGTAAGTGTATTTAAGTAAGTGCGTTTGTATGTGTATGTTTGGGGGTCTGAAATGGACTAATCTACTTCACAATATTTCTTATGGGAACAAATTCGGTCAGTACTGGCACCTGAACATACTTCTGGAGTGAAAAAATATCGTTAACCAGGGGTCCACTGTATATTAAACCACCATGGTGACATTACACATCCCTGTCTAAGACCTACTTTTACCGGGAAGTAGTCTCCCTCTCTTCTACACATCCTAACCTGAGCCTCATTATCCTCATAAAAACTCTTTACAGCATTTAGTAACTTACCACCTATTCCATATACTACTTGCAACATCTGCCATATTGCTCCCGTATCCTCTCTATCATATGCCTTTTCTAATCCATAAATGCAATAAAAACTTCCCTACCTTTATCTAAATACTGTTCACATATATGCTTCAATGTAAACACATGATCTACACATCTCTTACCCACTCTAAAACCTCCTTGCTCATCTGCAATCCTACATTCTGTCTTACCTCTAATTCTTTCAATTATAACCCTACCATACACTTTTCCTGGTATACTCAGTAAACTTATTCCTCTATAATTTTTACAATCTCTTTTGTCCCCCTTCCCATTATATGAAGGGACTATACATGCTCTCCACCAATCTCTAGGTACCTTCCCCTCTTTCATACATTTATTAGACAAAAATACCAACCACTCCAACACTAAATACCCCCCTTGCTTTTAACATTTCTGTCATGATCCCATCAGTTCCAGCTGCTTTACCCCCTTTCATTCTACGTAATGCCTCACACACCTCCCCTACACTCACATCCTGTTCTTCTTCACTCCTAAAAGATGGTATACCTCCCTGTCCAGTGCATGGAATTACCGCCTCCCCTTCTTCGTCGACATTTAAAAGTTCCTCAAAATATTCTCGCCATCTACCCAAAACTTCCATCTTCCCATCTACTAACTCCCCTACTCTGTTTTTAACTGACAAATCCATATGTTCCCTAGGCTTTCTTAACTTGTTTAACTCCAAAATTTTTTCTTATTTTCATTAAAATTTCTTGACAGTGCCTCTCCCACTCTATCATCTGCTCTCCTTTTGCAATCTCTCGCCATTCTCTTCACCTTTCTTTTACTCTCCATATACTCTACTCTTCTTATAACACTTCTGCTTTGTAAAAACCTCTCATAAGCTAACTTTTTCTCTTTTATCACAACCTTTACTTCATCATTACACCAATCACTCCTCTTTCCTCCTGCACCCACCCTCTTATAACCACAAACTTCTGCCCCACATTCTAATACTGCATTTTTAAACCTATTCCAACAGTCTTCAACCCCCCCACTGCTCATACTTGCACCAGTCCATCTTTCTGCCAATAGTTGCTTATATCTCACCCGAACTTCCTCCTCCCTTAGTTTATACATTCTCACCTCCCTCTTGCTGTTGCCAATTTTCCTCTTTTCCCATCTACCTCTTACTCTAACTGTAGCTACAACTAAATAATGATCCGATATGTCAGTTGCCCCTCTATAAACGTGTACATTCTGGAGCCTACCCATAAACCTTTTATCCACCAATACATAATCTAACAAACTACTTTCATTACATACTATATCATACTTTGTATATTTATTTATCCTCTTCGTCATAAAATATGTATTACTTATTACTAAACCTCTTTCTACACATAGCTCAATTAAAGGCTCTCAGGAACGGATTAATAACGTGAACCGGGGGTCCACTGTGTATGTGTGTGTGTGTGTGTGTACAATATATGCAAACAATTGCAGACGGGTGATCTTAACTATGCAGGACAAGCCACGGGAGGGTGGAAATTTTTAGCTCAAGTACTTTCACACTTCTCAGTGTGTCATCAGGAGCTGTGCAATGTTGCAAGGGAGCAACCAAAGCAGGGAGAGAGGTCTCAGAGTAATGTAGGTGTCACCGGCCACTGTGGCCGGTGACACCCAGCTAGGTACTACCGTCCTGCCAAGTGAGTGTAAAACGAAAGCCTGTAATTGTTTTACATGATGGTAGGATTGCTGGTGTCTTTTGTCTGTCTCATAACTATGCAAGATTACAGGTACGTCTTGCTACTTCTACTTACACTTAGGTCATGCTACACATACATGTACACAGTTTATTTATACACACTCATCTGAGCTTTCTTTGATTTTATCTTAATAGTTCTTGTTCTTATTACTTTTCCTTTTATATCCATGGTGAAGTGGAATAAGAATCTTTCCTCCATAAGCCATGCGTGTTGTAAAAGTCAGCTAAAATGCTGGGAACAATGGGCTAGTAGCCCCTTTTCCTGTAATGATTCCTAAAAAGAATAAGAATAAGAAAAAATATCACTAATATTTGTAAAAATTTCACCTGTCTTTGTTGAAGAGATACTTGGACTTTAAGCAGTAATAACAACATGTCATGCAACTGGATCTCAGATATTTTCAACACTAATTAAATATTTTTATTCTTGCAGGAAAAGGAAGCCAACAAGAAGAAAGGCCGCTCTAAAGAAGGTAATGCATGAACCCTGAAAAACAGAGTGAAGTCTTGTGTGTTACTGTCTGCACAAACCACTATGCTTGCTGCAATCATACACAGGTGCAAATAATGAGCTATGCACAAAACTTAAAATTCTTCTGAAACTCTCATTTTTCTTATCTATTTTAGAAAGATTTTAATACACTGTGATACTGAAATTGATAATGGTGTTGGTTTGTCTTATTACAGTAGTACGTACCAGTGTATTAATATGAGTTGCCATAATCAGATTGATTATATATTATCATTACCATTGGTTAAAAATTACATTACACAGACTGCCACATGCTTAGAGCAAACTTGAAATATGTTGAATTATTGTAGGTATATACCTGAGCTGTTATGAGTGTAATGTAAGTCATAAATGCATTATAACACTTGATTTTCAGTATTAGTTGGTAGAGTTTGCTTTACTTATTTGTGAAATATTAAGTAATACTGCTTTATAGCAGAATAAGTTTTTCAGTTAATTTTTTACTGGAATGCATAAAATAAAACACACATATGCCAAATCATGTAGATGTAAGTGAAATCATTCTCCCTCCTCCCCCTCCTAAGATGCATGTACTGAATGTATTCTCTTCAAAATCTTTGCCCAAATTGAGATGTTAAGCTTTATATCTTGGTATTTGCTTACATTACACTGTAGCATTGTATTTCTTACAGTTTAGACATTTATACATCTAGGTACATGCTTACATTACACTATCATTGTGTTTCCTATAGAATTTATCTTCAGTTATAAACACATCAATTGAGGAACATGGTTTAGATATTACATGGGTTATAGAGGGATTGCACGAAAAAACCATACAGTCACATCGTTGATTTATTTTTTAATTAATTTCAGAGTAAGCACTGTGCAAGAATGACAAGTAATAGTAGAGATCTAGAGATGTTTTAGGAGTCTATTAATTCTGCTGGCCTCTTATAAACTATTATACATTATGTATGTGTGGCAGTACTATTCACCATTAAGATTCTAGAAAATCAGCATCTAGGGTTTCCAAAGTTTTGCTCTAAGGTTACTAGCTAGCCTGTCATTGATTTTAAAGCTCTTTACTATTGGGTCTCAGGAATCTGTCGAGGGTATACTAATAGGCTTATGTGTGAGATTTCAGGATGTATGCTTGTGTTGCTCATGAACACCTTGCTAGTGGACTTCTAAAATTATTGACTGTGGCTTATAGGGAACTTCTCTTTTTTTTTGTGAAGCCTGCTTATTGGTATTTAAGGAACCTTGTACATGTAGTTGGGTTTTAGAAACACTGTCCCAGAGGTTGTGAGAATAAAGACACATGCACAATAAAGACATTTATTGACTAAAACATTTTGCCACTGGTGACTTTTTTAATCCTAAGCCACCATTGGCAAATGATCTTGATTGCTCATGTATATGTGTATTTCCATGATCTGTTGGTATTGATGTACCTGCACTTGTACAGTGCCCTTGGGTGTTCTAAGGAGGCCTATCTGAGTTTTTTATTTATTTATTTTTTTTTTGGAGGGGGGGAGGGGAGGGTGGGTTTCAGATGTTTATCTGTGGCCTCCTACAAGTCTTAGTTGTAGATATTTTAGCCTTTCTGGAGTTCCACTGTTTGGTGATAAAATTTTTGAATGAATGATATTAAATCAAATTTATATAAAGCCCATGTTGAAGTCTCTAAGAATTCACCATAGTTCCAATTATAGCACACTGTAATGTATACTTACAAGTATACAGTAAATTCATATTCTACAACTGTTGCTCAGTATGCGTAAGGGTGTTATATGTGGGAGACGGCCGACTTGTTGAAAAAAAAAAAAAAATGGGAAATAACAGGTAATGATAAATTCATAAGAAAATTTTTTAGTACATTAATGTCACAGCTCTAATCATGTAATTCATATTTTTTATTTATATGTGGGTTTTTCAGTTCTTTGTTGATGAGCAACATTGCTTTTGTATCATAAATCTTCTTTAGGACTCTTGGGTGATGCTTTCTCCTCCATTACATGCATTATATATTTTATAAAGACTTAAGACTCTTGGAAACCTTTCAGTTGGTATATGTATACACATCAGTGTTCACACAACCCACTTCTTCTCTACACTTCATTATAGTATTTTAAAGCTGTGTTAAGACTAATAACTTTCTTAATACTCCTTTATTCCTTAAAAAAACTTGTGCACTGTCACTTTTTTCCTTCATTTTTGTGTGTTGCTGAACATGTACTGTACAGTATAGCTCTTTTCTGGTCTGTTGTTGGTAGTAATATTTCTCTGTACGGTTTAAGTAAAACTGTATCCTTCCATAACTTAACCCTTAAACGGTCCAAACGTATATATGTGTTCTCTCACGTAGCGCCCCAAACATATATATACGTTTCCTTTGTCGTTCATTCAACATTGCCACGATAAGCCTGAATCACCTAGACATGAGAGAATGGGTGTGCGCACTCACTGTGCGCCATATGAAAAAAATTGGGGACGCCTGGGTACATATGCTCTTTTTTCCAATTAAAAAAAAAAATTTTTCTCAAAAAATTCGGGGCGCTACGTGAGAGAACGTATATATACGTTTGGACCGTTTACGCGGGTTAAATTCCCTGTTTCCTTTATTTCACATATGCTTGCAACATATATCTATGAAGCTTTTCAACACAAGACAAAATTTACAATATACTGTACTTCCAACAAATTAGTTAACCATTAGACCACTTAAATAAAAACTTGAAGAATTTGTCTTATATGTACTGTTTTAAATTCTCATCTATAATAGACCCTGACTCCTAATACTTTGGATCTACAGTATTGCTGTACAGCATTGAGAGTCTTAACTCAAAACATTATTTTTTATTATTTTAATAAAATTAAGTACATTATCATCTGTGGCTGTAAGGGAAGCTACCTCTTGAACCCTCAGTCCTGACCAGTACTGCTCACACCTTTCACATTTTTGCACATAATTTGCACATTCCAGCATATTTGCACATTAAGTAAGTGGCTTATAATTAATGTTGTTAAAGATAACTTTAC